CGCCCCATCTTTACCTGTGTTAATTAATCGCAGTCATTTTAGAAAAAATCAATCTATATTGAGTTCATAAAGAATTACAAATTAGTAAAACCGAAATAGGCTAACGTTTCTTTTTGCTTAGGAAAACAGCGGACAACGAAATCTGTACTCTTTCATGTCAAATGCTTTTGTAGCGCAGTGAAGTGAAAACTTCGGTTCCACAAAGAAACCCTTCCACGTTAGACTTTTTTAGTTAGTTAGAAGATTTTTTCCATAGTCTATATTTTACTTGTAAAGATGGTTTAGGATAGGAGAGTTTCTAGAGGACATGATAATTTACCTTTGTTAAAAGCAAAGGCTGATGCCTGCTAAGACTCGTCACAACAGATTTGCGAAAAGCAATTGGAATTGTAGGACATCTTAAGTATTCATAAATCTGCACCACTTAGAAATGAACAGCACCTAACATTTTGCAACATTTCGATCTTGATCCGTACGGTCGCATTTAGATCTGACCCTAAGTTGTTTTCACTGCAGTTCTTCAAAGGAATAAGGGATACGAAAAAAACTAAGGTGAAAAAATTCAAAGAAGAAAAACACCTGCTAAGACATCATTTGCGTAGTTCGTTCTGTCATTACTTTCCTCTCTACACTTTCTGAATCAAACCCTTGTGATATTCGATCTTCACTTCTTTGAAAAAGCTACAAATTACTCTCAGGCAATAGACGCCTCGTTGAAGTCTTTTTGTATTAAGTCAGCTATTTTAACTCAAGGCCTTACCGAGATCGTTGTTTTCATTGCTTTGTTGGGCAGAATTTCCTTTGAGTGTTTGCGTGTGTTAGTGCTAAATTATTAACAAAACTGAGGTAAGATCCGCCCATAATTGAACCACCAACAAATTTAGCGTCATAGCGTTCTTCCTTATCAAATCACCTCGAATCTCTAAGAAGTGAGCCGTTCAATTTTCTCGGCGAAGTCTGTTTTCTATAGTTTTTTGCCACTTAGGTTTCGAATTCTTCGTGGACATCTTGTAGTAAGGAGACTTGAAGAGGTATGTCTTGTTCAAATCGTTTAACATTATTAGATTGCAAAAACATTGATTAATTTGTTAGAACGATTCTGCTGCTTGTGGAGGCACAGCCTTAACAGAAAACAGCAGTGCAAAAAAATTTAATAATTTAAAAAGTGGTAACTCAAAGAAAATATGGAAGGAAATGATAGGGATTAAATGGCGAACAGGTAAGGAATCTGTAGGCATTCACTTAAGGTTTTCTGTATCACCTGTAGTCTCGTTGATCGTCGAGTGACTCGAGCGGGCGCCAGTAAAACCTCCATTTTTCCCTGCCACGTGCAAGAGTAGCCCAGTGGGTTCTACTCGCTCTAGGGACTCGTCGAGCATCATATCTTTCTTCAAGGCACTTCACTTAAGGTTTACAAATACTTATGTCTGTAGATTTAATTGAGCTGACACTGTGAAGCGAAATGATTTCGTAGAGGTGAAACGAATGCGTAACTTGAATGAAACGGGAACAGTTGCAATCATTCGGTAGTGGAAGAATTATTTACGCTTTTTCAGTAAAAGTCATTCGGACCTTTTCACGACCTCTAGCAGTCGCCAGTGCTCGGCTGCTCAAGAACGCCTTCAGTTATTGTAGTTGCGTATTCAGTCACCGTCCCTGACGCTACTTAGCACATCAGCGGTAGTTTGGCCAAGTTGGTCGTCTAGACGCTATACTGTAACTTTGCTCATATGTTCGTCGTAAATTTGTGGACTCGCAGATTGAAACGGACAGGCAAGCCATTTCCCAGTGATAAACAGCTTTTCCCGTTCCAAACATTAAACTAAATGACGAGAGATTCCTATGACTCGTATGTCATTGTTCCCACATCATTCACGGATGTATCCACGATGAAGTAGGAGCTCCTAAGAAAATTTGACACTTGTTCGAAAGAGGTTTTCGTTGAAGAATCATTACGAATCATTAGAGCCATGAAAGTTTTTTCTACACGACAAGTCTTTTATGTCTACGGTGCAGATCCTACCACTTCTTGAATTCTGTTCGTTTCATCGCATCCATCAACCACGAAGGTTTCCCAACTCTAGTGTGCGGTTTCAGCTGTTTCGTGAAGATTTTCCTTCCTTGAAAAATGTTGCTGAGAGTTGGTCAAGTCGATTCTCTCTGGAGCTCTGAGATAGCCGAGCTAGAGAGTTCGCAATTGGATTATAGAGATCAAGCGTTTCCGAGACAAGTTTGGTACTAATTTCCTGATAAGAGAAAGATGAGAAGCTTGGTGAGCCAGAAGAGTGTCAAATCAACACCGTGATCGCAATTGTCGGCATCACTGGCACCACATTACCCTCAATGTATGAGTTCGATCAATAGTCACGATAACACAATTCACTTCTCTTGAAGTGCGACCGCTTCTCGCGATAGAATAAACTCGTCTAAATTTAATCGGTTATGTCGAAAAAGGATTTAAGTAAAACCAATACTTTTAGATCGCGTGAATTTTTCATTATATATGGCAAGTCATATATATCACTATACACACATATATGCTTTGGCCGCCTGAAAAGAAAGTTGAAAAGTAAAGCCTTAGATCAGGAATAAACGTGGCAATACGTAACCTTCTATGTTTTGTGTGAGCAAGGAGATTCTTCAAGGTAGAAAGTGAGCTATGCAACCAACGACGCAACGAACAACGAATGAAACTGGGTGGATCGACCCGAGTGAACATCGTAAAGAGTAACTCGCTCTGATGAGATCGTTTGTTGCCATCGAGAATGCGAGAAAACCACTAGGGAAGAGAATTCACTTTCAACGACTCGGAATTTTTCCAAATCTGAAAGTGACATCGATTTCTTGGCTCCAAAATAGCTGTTGTCTTTGGTGTTTACAGCCCAGAATGTTAAACCCTTCTTTCTTCGTCCATTATAGAACCATTTGCCTTCACTATTATTATCCATGCCAGTATTATCTTCCCACCGTTGCTGGTTATTCCAGCACATCACGCAACAAACCTTTTCTAAAAAAAAACGTCTGAAAAGGAAAGTGCTTCGTAGAAATCACGACTTTAAAGGGACCAACTCACCCAAGCGACTCTGTTTAAAAACCAAGGCGATTTCCTTTTCGAGAGCAAGTCGGCAAGTAGTAGTAGCAAGTAGTAGGTAGGCTTCTGCTTAAAGGTTTGAGAACTGACAAAAGGATGTTTTGGAAAGAAACCTCTGAGGATCCTTATTGAAATGTCAATCCTATTTCCACTGTTTGCAGTTCTATTACAATAATATTGCAGTTTACTGCTTTGTGGTAGTTGGATGACAGTTAGCAGAATCTCCACCTCCAGTGCGATCTTGAGGTTGGCACCACTAAGATCGCAAAAGCTTCATGGATCAAAAACAAACTTCTGCTTCATCCCAAGAAAAACATTAAACAAAAAAAATTTAAAATTTTGAAAAAAATCTTTTCTGGAGCACATAGCTTCCTAGACCCACACCATGCCTTTCGATTTTGCAAAAAAAAATGCGAAGCGGTTTTAAGTATACTAGTTATAAGATTAATAGTCTTATAAAAGTTATGATAAATATCTATAACTGAGGTTATGCTTGATGGAAATGCATCTTGGAAAAGCTAACGGACATTGTCCGAAAACTAATGAAAATCCGCTGAAATCACGACCGAATTTGTGAAATGCGTTAAACAGTGAGAAAAGTGCTGAAAATGAGAAGTTCGTGCAGGAGAACCACCAGCTCCCTGAAGAATAAGCAGCGATGGCAGCGAAGCGGAGGTGCTGTACGTACTGTAGGGCACTGCCGATGCGAGGAGTGATCACAGTGGGGTGGTCCGTTCGACTGGAGAGAACGAGCGAGCGGATCATTCAAAAGGTAATAAAGGCAGTCACGAAGAGGATCATAAACTAGACGATTATGCCGCCGCATAACTATCTGCTAACTTTACGATCATATAAAGAGTGTTGCAGTTATCGTAAAGATAACTGGTATTTGGAATATTCTGGGCTAGGATTTCAATAGGCCCGCATTTCGTAGAGGTTATGAAGAAAAGAAATTCTTTCACCATATTAAAAATGTGGGGCAGGATAAACTGGCTCTAAGCAGCAATTTTAGAACGACTTTTGAAAAAAAGACTTTCAAAGAGGGAGAGTGATTCCGAGTGGCTTACATTCATCCCTTCCCACTACTTATTTTTTCCCTATACTAATGTTTTCAGGACTTCTATATTGTAACTACGAAGCCAGCTGAAAAATTCCATTGAAAACTATTGCATCAACCCATTATGAATCCTGATATTGACCGATTATGGTGGGTTTATGGGTTCTTTCTGGAGAGATTTGCACCAAGCAAGAAGCACAGTTCAGTAAGCCATGCGCCCTTTATCTCACTAATGTAAGAGGGAAGTTTCAAATAAAGTCGCTGTATTGCAAAATATTATAATATTTTATTAACATTTTTTTTTGTTTTTAGTAATATTTTTACCAGTGTTTTTGCTGGGTAAGTCATTTGAAGCATTATAGGGTTTAAATTGTCCCATTAGCCACTCCTTCGATTTCTAAGAAGAGAGTACAGTGAGTCTGCACCCGAAAGGTGACCGGAAAAAAACGACTTTTATTTGAGCGAGTATTGATGCTGCCTGTAAGCGAGTCGGTTGTCTTGATGGACAAGTTTTTGTCGAATCCAGCGGCGAACGTGATCGACGTCGTCATAATTGGGGCGTTCGGCGTGGTGGCCACTGATCGGAGACGATCCATCTCGCTGTTCATAATCGTGCTATCACACGACGTCTGTCTCTGTGAGTCTATGTGCTGCCCTTACAAAGGAGACGTTTCCCCAGCGATGAGCGAAAATTTATGGCTTGTTTTACGGCTGCACAGGCGGCGACATCAAAGCGAAGCGGCGCCCGCCGCGATTGGCCAGTGCCCGCTGCCTCCCTGCGCGCTCCCCGCCCACCGCCGATGTCTGCCGTGTCTGGAGCTCCGCACCGAGTCGTCTTGACGGTAGTCGACGATGAGTATGTATCCGAACTGGACTGGCGACGATTCCTACTGGGGAAGTCAGTCGGCCCCTCAGGGTCTGGCCGGCCCCATGCCTCAAGCCCAAGCGCTCAAGCAGCCCTACGATCCGCTGCTCTACAATCAAAGTTACATGAACAACATGAAAAGCATGCTGGCCGCTCAATGGGTGGAGAACACTAATCCGTGAGTGGTGTCCATTTTGTTTCAGTACACGTATGATTTTCCAGTTTTTGTTTCCACTATGTCGTTACAATCCAACACCAATTTTGACAACGTTTCTTGTGTTTATTGCAAATCAATATTGCGACAGGGAAAGTGATTGAACCACCTTTGCCGCTAAACACCTATTTATTGTTTGTTTTCATTTCTTGTTTTTGTTTATTTTCTGTTATTTGATCTACTTTTTGTTTTCTAAGGTTCACCGGCTACAACGCTCTACAGGCGACTTCAGCTTCCTTTCCCGAACGTTCGGTTCATCTTGCTCAACCAGTATTCCCATGGATGAAGATGAGCGGTAAGTACATAACCATTGTGCCTTTGTGTTGAGTTTTCGAGTTCTTGTATTCAGTTTTCATTCTGTTGTTTTAAAGAGTGGTATTTTTATTATTGTTATCTAACAGGCTTCGTTAGTCACTCTTCAGGAATTTGAACTTCTTGAAGAGATTCCACTACAGAGTTTACCTTGTGCTTATGCGAATCCCTCACCTCAGTGGACATAAAATAGCGTATTATGTGATTCGCTCGATTGATAGCGACACTTGAACGCAAACAGAATGCCCGAGATATTAACTTGTGCCGTGCTTATCGCCCAGTTCTTAGGTGCTCATGTCTTTTTGAAAGGAACCCTATGAGACATTGAATAGTGAATCGCCATGATTACATCCCTACTCGTGGTAATACTACTCAGTGCGTGTCGTTATAAGGAAAACCTCCCGAACTGTAGCATGGTTATAAGCCAGCACACCATGAGTCACTGTCGAACAACTTTCTAATCCTTACTATATTACAGTGTTTTTCTCTTATAATATAGTATATAGAGATAATATATAGAGGTAGTCCACAGTTGTCTTTATATCAGCGATAAGAAAAAAGATATCCCTAACGACGTACCAAACTCAGCCAGTGAGCTTGCAACAGTTCATACAATGAGAATATGCTATGCCACGTATTCATTTTCGAAGATCTGTCTCGTTCAGGAAGCAGCTAGGGATAAACCTAGTTCACAATACAACAACGAAAGAGCAAAATTATTATACGGTTTACTTAGAAGAATCTTTGGATCTTTTTTGTGCTTTCTTTAAAGCAAGTATATTTAGAATGTTTTTATGGTAGGGTATTAGTTTAACACAAGGAAACCCGTACATAATGAAAACGTGGCACGTGAACTAAAACAGTCTATGTAATACACACTTGGAAAGTTTTTGCAAAGGTGGGTGTTGTTTATGGACCACACATCGACATTCCTTCAAGAAGTGACTTTAACTTCTTGTCGTAACTCGTAAGTTCCCCAACAACTGTAAAAGTGCTGCGTGGTTTCTCCTTATTAAGCGTTCAGGCAAAAACCTTGAAAACTGGTAGATTAATGCCAAAGAAGGTTTTTTGACGTCACACTAATCGTATACATTCTTTGATTTCTGGAGCTCATGTGACATGCCCGTGGTTTCATATTCACACAAATTGTTGAAAATGTTCGTTTTTTCCAGACATAATTGATAGTCTGCACAAAGAAGTCTGGGAAATTCCACTCCACTAGACGTCGATCCTTCGCCTAGGTCATTCCTTATTCGGCGCTCACTACAGTCATTCATCACATTCTCAACCTGCGCTCGTAGAGATCTCTTTCTCAAACCAAATTGTGCAAATGTCCACTGTAGTTATTTCCTTTGTAAGTTGTATTCATGGCACTTTAATCATACGTGCTCTTGGATATTCTTGGATGTTAAGTGCATCGAAATTCGCTTTGTGAAACTCTATTCAGTGTCCGTTTCTTGTGTCGGTGGTTCGTCTGAATGCCAACGTAATAAGAACTGGAAGTTTATCTAGCCATCTGTGTTTTTTGTTCTGGAACTCCTGTCATCTTCGTCGAAAAATGCTTACCATAAAAGCAGCGACAATACTGATGCGTGATTACGCATTTGGAATTGACACCTTTCTGGTTAAACACGTAAGCATTAAACGTTGCAAAAATTCTCGACCTCCGTGGAGAGGTTTTGTGGCTGGCTGTGGTTCAGCCAGCTATGCACTGTATCGAGCAATCTGTGCAGGGAAGTAGTTGTAAAAGTTGGTTACAGCTGTCCCTCTGCACCTAATCCTGATTTACAGTATGTTTACACTGTTCTGATATGCTCAAACAACGGATTAGGTCTCATAAGAATAACTGAGCAAATCCTGCCCTGACCTTAGATAACCGCGCGGATTTCTCGGATTTACCACACCACCGCTCGAGCTATTTTTCTGTGCCATCTGTTTTGAAATATGCACAGTATTCCAGCCTAATGAAACCTTTGGATGCAAGTTAAATAGAAATTTGGTAGTTCAATGTTGATTGTGCATTCGATATGTAAGAAAGTTTTTGCTAAGGACTTTCTGACCTCGCCGAACTAGTTGTCACATAATTTTCGAACATAATTCATCCCTCGTTCACGATCTGGTGGATCTAATTTTCGTCGCTACATATTTCAACATTTAATGTGGTGATGACGGCATACCACCGACAGGGTTTTTGCGCTATACCGCATCAAACACGATGATTACCTTATGGATTTTTTGCAGAGAAAGTCATTCTTACACACTTGAAGCTTCTCACATATGAAGTGTCCTGTGGCAAAAATGATGTAAGCTAAGCAAACTTCCATGGATAACCTCTGATATAATATTTCTTCACTCACGTCCATAAAGAAACGATAAGATCGGTCCGAGCAAATCGATGAAGTTTCGATATTCACATTTGTATAGGGTTTTGTTCAAAACTCTGTCAACTAGCGTGTGTTGAGAATTTCTGATCTTTTCCGTGACTTTCTTGAGAAGAAGTGTGTTTAAGAGACAGAGGGTGGCACCTGACGTCAGTCTGCCTGGACGCCGCCAGCACTTGTCGGGTTTTCAGTGCATCTTTAAGTGGCGAGCTGTTTGCATGAGAGAGCCGAAGCGAATGAAGCCGTTGTGCACGACACTCCCGGTTTCCTGGAAGGGGCTCTTCGCAATCATTCCGAACAGTTCGGCAAGGGCGAATTGTGGTCCAAACGGCGTCCTGGGCGTTGATTGTGATTCAGAAATCAATACGGCGGTCTGTGGGCAACTTGTTTTTGCCGCCCTCAGGTGCAACGCGGCGATCTCGATCGCCCGGCGCCGATGAATGTGTAGAGCCAGTGGGGACATCATTGCTAACCCCTAGCCTCTGTCATCTGTTCGCAGAATCGAATACTTATTCTGAGGATACCGATGAAGTTATTCAACCTACGGTATCGTTACTTTAGACAAGGTTTGATTAAACGTCCGCGAAAAACACGGCCTTCAAACTCGAGCCCCCTTGAAGGGATTTTCCATCAAAGCATTCGACACGCGAATGCGCAGAAGCATCGTCATCACGACAACCGGACATTTTCCCCGAGATGACGAGCCAAATTATTGCCCACGCCGGAAAAATCGCGAAAAACGAGCGCATACGACAGAAACGACGGAACATGAGAAAATTTGTTCCGAACAAGGAACGCCCACTAATATCAAACACTACGCTTGCGGGAACTAAAACAAGAGAACGCCGGAAAATTCGGAGAAGCTCGTAAGTTCGTCTTCATGTAGTCTGCAATAGTATAAAAACTAGGCAATAAGCTGTTCATTACCATAGTTTCACCGCTTGTCAAAATTTCTACTAATTCACGAAAAAAGGAATTCCTTAAGAGTTCTCCGACTCCACTTTTTATTACTGAGCGATATATTTCGAAAAAATGGTCGTTCTTCGAGTGGCTTTCTTCTCTTCTCGCATTCGTAGAGCTTGCTCATGTCGTGTATAAGCCTGTCCGAAGTGTGTGAGCTCTTCTGTCTTCGGTAGAGGATGTGAATGTATGTGTGTGTGTGTGCATGTTTGAATAAGCAAAAGGCGGAACGAAACATGTCGATTGCGTTGGAGAAACAACTGGTGCAAGCCGTCAAAATGTTTGAAATATTGGCGCGGCGGCATCGCTTTCATCTGCTGCTCTCCATTCCCAACTGTTGTGTATTTGTTCGTCGACGACACCTACGGCCGCCGTGCACTTGCCACGCTACCGTACACCGATTTCGTAACTGTTGTCGGCTTCTCCAACGAATTAACGCAATAAGATGAAAACCATTCCTTCACGACCAGGATAGAAGCCTCGGTTCGATGTTAAGCAGATTCATTTAGATGTTCTTTAACCACGAAAGATAAGCATTGTAATGTACTTGTGGCATGAGCGCCAAACTCACTCCAATAATTCAACCCTATAGGTGCCGACAGGGAAACTGCCGAAATTTCACACAGCAGTGAATAAATCTTGACAGAGATAACCTGTGTCTGTTCAAGAAGAAAACACTAACTTGTTAAACAATGAAGAGGTTAATAGAATGTCGGCCCTTGGAACTTCTATAAATGCAACTAGGAGACGTGCCGTAGTGGGAAATGGACTTTAGATGAGATCGATTATGCGAACCAGCCCCCCTAGCGAACCATCTAAATGGTGATTGTTCGAGTTTGAGATGCTAACGATTCGTTGTAGAAGTATAGGTAATGGGCAGTCGTGATATGAAGTCGACTTCCCAAGTATCGAGCTGTCAACAGCGAATGAAAGTGCATGCTACAGACTATGACAGGCAAGGCGACGTATGCCGGCAATGTTCGGCACAGGCAAACGTCGCCACAGGCGTTCATAGCAGTTGTTCTCGAACGTACCCTTCAATGTCTTCGCACATCGTCTTCTTCTACCAGTAATCTGATGGCGATGGCTTTTAATCGAGACGTTTTTCGAAGAGCTCCATTGCCATAATGCACCGAATAGAATGACATTAGGGCAGAGTACAAGAACGCCGCTATGACGTCATCACATGGAAATGCTACCACTTCACGAATCAAACCAATTATCAAAAAATAGTTGTGAGTCCTTATGCGGTGACTAATGAGTGAAATTCCTACTTATACTACAATGTGAGTATAATAGAACACTAATGATATTAAGGTAATGTCTGCATGTGAATTTAACAGCGAAGCCACGTAAATATGGTGGTTGATGACGATGCTCTTGGCGAGGGAGGACGCGATTCTCCTAGGTTCATCAATGGGCGCGAACGAGAAGGCCAATGTGGCGTGTTTGGGGCGAGTTTTACGATGTCCCGTCTCGCCGTCTCTCCATAAATTTCTTCTAGCTCCGCCGATGTGTGTCTATCCGACTGACCATCTTCACACCGCACCGCGTTACTGACTATCCGCGCCTTTTTGTTGGTTTTCGATAACATTTTTATGGGTGGTCGATTGTCGGCCGAAGTCAGTCATCATTCACTATGCGTAACGATTTCCACTATGTATCTATGGCTTGATAGCCACTGACGGGATTAGAATTTTTCAGCTAGCGTGCAGATGCTCCTTTTTTATCGATCTCGATGTAAGTGGTATTTATCATTCTTGATTGAGAATCATTAGCAAGCAAACGTTGTCATCATTTGGCACTGTAGCCCATCATCACAGTGATAGATATATCACGATTTGCTTGCATACCACGATCACAGTGTTACCGTGAATGCTGGTAAAGTGCTAAATATATTATGTTTTTTCTCAAGTAGTTCACTATTCCGTTTCATCATAATCTTGCATCTCATTAATCTATGGCCTATGAATTGAGTTTCTAAAACAGCGATTCCGGATTATGCGGAAATACCAGTGATTTCTACTGTCCACTTTCCTAATGTTTGCAAATCCACACTATTCAATACCGTATACCATCGAGGAATTTGATCAATTCCTTTAATGGAGGCTGCTTGTGGGAAATTATTGTTCGTAAAGAGTTCTTCTTTTTCTTTTAAAGACACTGTAGAGTTTATTTTAGGCTTATTTCCCATCCGATTATACCTCTCGTCTTTCACTTTGAGTGCAGCTTCACTCATCTCATCCAATCATTTACCATAAGAGTTAAATTAGAGTTTAGTTGACGAGTAATTGAACAGAAAATGGGTCGATCTCATCTAATATGTGTGCGCAAAGAAGCATCTGATTCAAATTGGGTTTTCATTCTGTTTTCCATAAATCAACCTTGCAGCAGCATCGCAGACGGATAGCTTCGTGCGGCCGTACTGCGGCCCTTGAGCATAAATTTACGGTCGCTTAGACTGTGAATGCTTACGGTTACTGTAGATGGTGATTAAGGTTGATCGAAGAGATCAACCTACCGGAAGAGCTAATTATGGTATAAACGGTCTTAAGGCTCGAAGGAAGTCAGCGTGGAAGACACCCAGATTTTTCGGAATTCCGAGTCGCCTCCATTAATCTGGATTTTTAAAATATGTAGTTATTTTGCATTCTTACTTTTTTAAAATATGATCCGACATTAAATATCCTGCATATTTCTGTAGTCTCTATTCTCTGGAATTTCTGTCCTGCACCCTTCTCCTACAAGTCCTTGCTCGGATTTGCGTGGGTGTTCCTTTGCAACTTGAGGAGGTCTTCGCATTGTCGAACTTCGTTAAATTCTGGTCGAGCTTAATTCTCCTTGAAATGCCGAACATCTCTGCTAGATGTGAAATATAACCACAGCAATGCTGGGATATTTGGTAAATATTCTGACATTTCAAATCATGTCTTGTCAAGAAAAAAAAAGAACAGGCAATAAATAAAAGGTAAACCTGTCAGAGTTTTTAAGAGTCATCACCCACCACAACACCTCGTAGACCTAGACCTTTGTGGATTTGAGAGAGCTCTTCTTCGATAAGTTTGCTTGTACTGTGAAATATCCAAAATCCAATAAGAGTACGAACTTTAACTATGATTCAGCTGCAAATTTTGCGCTTCTGGAATGCTTGGTGCCACCCTATGCAGTTGCAGTCAAACATTATTACGGCCAACGCTGAGCTCACTGCCCTATTTTCAACGGATTAGGAAATAGAACATTGGAATAGAAGGTGTTTCGAGTTCCGTTATTATCACCTGTGATGCTTCTTCTATCAGAATTAATTAGAAATTGCAAAACATTCTCGTAATCATTTCCTATAAATATTTTCCTGAGAGTAGTGTCAAGTGTGATTGTTACTAGAATCTCCACACCGTTTTCGATCTGCAATGAACCAAAGGCAACCTGACCAATGAGGAATTCTGTTTGCTGATTACGTTCTTCTTTTTAATAAAGTCCACCTCACAGTAAGGCAATAGAACTGTTGATGATTTCGTTCTTCATTATTCTATCCTACTTATTCCAGTTTGTCAGTTTTTAAAACTATTGCGGGCTAGTTCCAGCAAATCTATATCTCATATCTGTGTGACTCAAAGTGAACCAGGACTTAACTGCGACTACAATAGAGTTTAGTTTAGCTAAATGACTATATGATAATTCTGTTTGAAGCTTCTTACAACGATTGGATGGATTTAAAGGGATCATGCTGTTGTGTATAGTGACGAATATCCCAACGTGAACTTTCTACGCTACAAATACCGTTGTTTTTCATGTATTGCAGTCATTGCCAGTAGTTATTGCGTTCTTGATAAATAGGCGCACGAACTAAATAATTGTGTCGTTCTTTAAGCCTTTTAAAATTATCCGAATGTGATGAAATATTCTTCTCACGGTGTGGGGAGTTTCCATCCATCTCACATTCCCTGAATGTACCGGCTACGAACATCGTGGAGCACCTTTGTCCTTCTAGGGACGAGGTGGGCCGAGAAGAGGCTCTGCTCGATGTGCTGGTGGTGACGGCGCCGACCATCAATCTCGAAGCAGATCCGAATTCGCACATGAAAGGCGCCGCGAAGCGCTCGTTTCGTTGCGCGACCCGCCACCTGACTGCTGCCTAAGGTACGGTAGCCGTCCGCCGCCGTCGTCGTGCGCGTTCAAATCGCTACTCGATCCGCAACGAAATCGCAGCTCCTTGCGATTTCACTGGATTTTTTCTAATCTTAGGTGTACGGCTTTAAAAGTTGTCAAGCAGCATTATTTGTTATCGCTATCTTGCATTCTTCACAAAAGCCAGTCAGTCAATAGTTGTTTGTTCCCACTTCGTATCTTCGTCGTCGTTTTTGAGTAGGATTTTTGTTCGAGTCCCTGCTCGTCATCGACTCTCTAAGCAATTTTTTCAGCGACGACCTTCATCGCTTTTTTCCGTGGACGATTTTTATCTTGCAGACCTCAATTTGCAAATGTTTCATTCAAAAATCACTTGATATCAAGGACCATCAAAGTGAATCTCGTCCTCATTGCAGGTTCCAAATCGGGCGAATCGAAGCGCACACGGCAAACGTATTCACGAAATCAAACACTGGAATTGGAAAAGGAATTCCACTATAACAAGTACTTGACAAGGAAACGACGTCAAGAAATCTCTGAAAGCTTGCAGTTGACTGAAAGACAGGTACGACAACTTATAGCGATGAATGGAATGTGTGCCTATGCTTATTTTTTATTTTGTATTATTTTATGCGCCTCGTATTCACATCTGCTGTGCGGATCCTAGCATTTCCCACCTTCGTTTCGTTTACTCGCACCCCCCAAGCACTAAGGTCTTATAACTTTTACTTGTGGCTTCGGCTGCTGCTTGAGGATTTTCATTTCATCTCAAATGTCGTAGAATATTGGTCGAATCGGTTTTACTTTAAGTCCAGAAATAACTGACCTAGAGTCTTCCACTTAGACTGCAGAGAGTGACTTTTTTCGGACAAGTTCGCTACAAGCTTGCCAACCCCGTAGGGATGCGAGGCTAGGTGAGCTCGGAGTGGGATCGGACCGGCACCGAGCTCGTGATGGTCAACTACCACTGTGCTATCAGCTTCCTGCTATGCTTAAAACTTAACGGACTACTGAAAGTAAGAGCAAGAATAGCAATTTGTTACTTGATAGATTAACTATTCTTATATTTCTGGCATTCATCGAGTGATTCGAACCAATACCAAGAAAACCCTCCGTTCTCGTCAATGCGAGCGAGGATTTTTCACTGTGTTCTGTCCAGTGTTCACTGAGGATAAATTTCTGTTTTCCTTATAGTGCTTTTACTTTCTTTCAAGATGATAGTCACTGGTTGCTTGAGAAGCTTTGCTGCACTAATTGCGCGTTACATAGCCGGGCGCAGTCTTGAAGCGGTCCATTCTAAATCCCACTCACTTCATTATAGACTTTCCCCATGTCGACTCATAGAAGGCAATTAGCCAACTAGTGAGCGTAACTAGCATAAGCATTAATATTTTTGCATACATAGAGAACTCATGGCATAGTCCGGTATGGCAACAAGGAATGTGTCCTTTCAATCCACCTGGAACCGGGAAAGTGAAAAACATGTTTGCTTGTTGACTAGTTGTTAGATTTTAGATTTTTAGCATTATTTTGTTTAATACTGGTTAATTCTACTTAGAGCCGAGTTGTCCCAACCAAATATTTTGTATTAATCGGCATTTGAGTAAACTTAGTTCGAAACAGACTGGAAATCAGATAGTAAGTAGCCCAGTACCTCGGCCAGGGTAGTGTGCTGCAGGACCAACTAAGGGTGAACTTGCTTCCTTACCATCCTTATCGGATGCGGTTTTCAGTGAGCAACCTTAACCACTGCTATTATTGATCTTTCGTCCGGCTCACACACTATACCGTAAGCCGTGGCGATAAGAGAGTCCCAGATAAAAGGTGCCGCCATCTCCCACTGTTCGTTACAATTTCGATTTTGCGCATAGGTGAAAACGTTTCTTAAAGTCAGAAATGCGCTGTGATGCAAAGGAAAATATCGATTCAATAATTGCCAATCGTTTTTGTGGTTGACAAGCACCCTTGATCATCAAAAAAATTGAATTTTCACAATTCTCTCCACCATTTACAATTATGAAGTTCAAGTACCGTTTTGGAAAAGATGTATTATAGTACTTGTATGGCATTGGTTCCACCCAACCGCGCTACGAGCTAACCATGCCTCCCATTTCTCCACAGTCAGTAAATTGGTGCTGGCCTTCTTCGGGAAGCTGCCTTTCATGCACAAATGTGCTCACGCTTTGTGGGAAAGAGCTGGGAACGCCCCAATGCGGCTATTTCAGGTTCTCAGGAAGAATACACTTGACTAGTGTTTCATGGATTCACATTCATACTCATAAATCTGGGGATCTCTGTAGGCGATAGATGGAAGACAACTAACCATACAAAGTTCTAGAATCTGCACAATACGTGGTGCCTTGTCAAGTAGTATCAAAGAAGAAAAATACTCGCCGTATAGAAAAACAGATTCGGTGTTTTGTTCTTATGATGTGTAAAACTGAAGAGCGTTCCAAACTCAGTGGCCAGTCGTATGGCTGAGTGGCAAGGAGTAGAAAGTGAACGCTCAGTGACTAAAAACAGTAATTACCAGAAGCGCGTTATACCAATCGGTTTGTTGCGTTAGACTTGAATGAGATGATCGGGAGCTCCGGACCAAGTCCATGACCTAGAAAACTTGTCCATCAGAAAGGCGTTGAACTATTTCCATACGTTCATTGGAATACTGCTTTCAAAACTAATATAAAAGCGTCCAGAGATAAACTCACATTTAGCTTAATTTGATTACAACACTTTTGTGGTGAGAAAGAACAACGATGTTAAACGTTTCCAGGTAAAAATCTGGTTTCAAAACAGGAGGATGAAGCATAAAAAGGAGAGCAAAGGAGACGGCGCAGGTGAGCACGAGAGCGACGAATCCACCCAGGATGACCAACAGAACTCCTGAGCCCGTCTCGACGTCTCTTGCTCCTCGGAACAAATGGTTGCTGCTTTCGCTGTTGGTACTTTTTCTACAATGATAGAACCTTTTTGAACACAATTTTATACGAAGACATGATTTTGATTGCATATATACGTACATACATATGCGTCGATGTTCCCAATGATCAAAATTTTTAAGTTGGGGATATTCTGTATAATTTATCTCTAGCACACGGGTTTCTATACAATAGAGCTCTCTCTGGTTTCTTTCTCGTTTCTATGTTTTATTAGTGTGGCTGCGTTCTCGATGAGTTCTTCTTCTTCATCTCCTTTTTTTCCATGTTCATACCACATTTCGATCTCGTCTGGTGGAGGCCGAGCTTCCCACAGCTTTTTATCAGTCATTTTTCGCTCTTGTGGCGACCAACTCCGTGATTTTTTCGTCGATTTTCTCATCCCAGTGTAATGTTTTTTTTTAATACACGTCTTTTAAATGAAATGTATATAAAAGTTTAAAAAGTTAGTAAATGGACAAAAAATTTCGTTACACACTTTATTTCAATTTGTACGCCGAGTTCGCTGGTCGAACACAAATGTTTTACAAACCCAAGTTTTCAACAATGAGTTTATTTCAGCCTCGATAATTATTGAAGGGTCCACCAAATTACGGTGCTACAAAGTGGACTAAAGTGGACTAAGAAGACTGTAAGTCGAATGATAAGAGTGCTCGGAGGCACCCTGCAACACAGACGTTGAATCGATCCGAGCGCCCATGGCCCACCTAGCCTTCCATACCTCCGGGGTCGGTAAATTGGAACCAGGCTTGTCTGGGAGGATAACAGCACTGGCTCGATACATCGGTAGGCCACCACGAGTCATTGCAAAGAGTGGATATGCATTCATTATGCATTGGAGGTATCTAAACGATGTTTATGAAGTCAAGTGTATAGCACATCCCTCAGGGATTGATCAACGCCGAGAGCTTCACCCTTTTGTCTTTTAAGAAGACCATAGCTGTTACTAAATCTTATAGTAGCAAATACTGCAACATAGTACCAATAAAATGTGCGTAACACACAAAAGAGTTGATAACTTAATAACTAGCTAATAATAACTGATTACTGATAACTTGCAAAACCACTGTTTGGTACTTAGTAGTTCGGTTTTTGGCAAAAGTATTTTTTATCAACTGCAATGATGCTGAAATCCTTGAAAAACTTGGACCCTAAAGCCAGATCGTGGTCCCTAGATCTTTCCAAGATTTGCAGATATCACAGCGTCATTGTAGTTGTACTTGACATAATATCTTGGCGTGAAAAGATAGCAGATAAAAGTTGTTATTTTTTGTCTTCAAATTTGAAAGCGACGGCTTTTGGTCTTTCATGCAATTTATTATGCTGTGCTTAAGAACCCTTATCCATCTTTTTCAGTAGGCCATCATGATTCTAAAGGTATCTGTAACCAAAATGATTTCTCTCTAAACGAATCCACTCGAAGACCGCCTAGTTGGGCTCTCTTCTTCCTCCACTCCGCTTCGATCGTACTAGCACTCATCGCCTTGCAGTAGTTCAGCGGGCGTAGAGAGCATTTTGGCAGACTCCGTAGCGAATCCTTCACCGTTTTCAATGGAAACCAACTGGTCCGACTAGGTGGATGCGCTGTCTGTAGTGTTATTTGGGCAGTAATCTCGGAAATTTTCAGTTGAAATTTTCTCCACTCCACTCATGTTTTTATGGAGAGTTGAAGTTTTCTTTATAACAGATCAGTTTTATGCGTGTAGAACTGAATGATGAGGTGGAACAGGGCAAATGAAACTCATCACTGTGGTGACGAAGTTGGTATTCTGAAAGGTAGTCTAAGAAAGACTTACTGGGAGCAAGCGCCAACGCAGCAGTTAATTTCAATTTTTTCACCCTCAGAAATCTAGTTGAAGCAAATCTTATACTACAAAATAATTTTCCTTTCGAACATATCTATGTGGTAATTTAACTATCAGATATTTTCCACATAAAGCTAAAAGAAAGCTCTCGGCGTTGATCAACCCCTGAGGGAAGCGCCGTACATTCGACTTCGTTAAGCACCGTTGGGGGCGATTGAATGCATGTATGGCCTTTACAATAACTCGCGGTGGCTAACCAATGCATCGAGCCAGTGCTGTTATCCTCCCGGGCAAGTCTGGTAGTAATTTGCCGATCTCGGAGGGATGGAAGGCTTGGCGAGCCATCGGCACGGGGATCGTTCCCATATGTGTCGCAGGACGTCTCTGACCACTGTGCCACACGTGTCGACGTGGGATTCAAAATCCTTAATAGACTTTCTCTAAAGAAAAAAGCAGAATGTGCAACGATAAAAATACTTTTTAGCTTAGTGCAGAAACTGTGCGTGCCCGTGCTCTCTTTCTAAAATGACAGTGATCGTTGTTGAAGTTGTGAGAATGAGGGGATTTATTCACTTCGGCTTTTCTCTTGCTGGAATTCTCCACTGCCGCGATATCTAAGAAATCAGTCGTAAAACAGAATTTAGGTCTACGAAGTGAATAACATTTAGCGAAAAGGACTGGAAACACAACTTTTCTTGATATTCTTGTTCAGCAAACACGAGGTGTTACTTTATTCTTTATTCCGTTAAAGCTGACGTTTCGGCGGATTTCGCCTTCCTCAGAGCCTGAAAAGGTCAAGTTGACAGCAATCTACATGGCCAAACACCTCCATAATCAAACAGAGAAAACGCTAAGCACAGATTTTCGCCGAAGCTGTTGCTGCTCAATCGTCGATGCTCTACCGATTCAATCAGCTGAAATAACACTAGCAACCCAACTCGTCGGTGTCGACTTGCTGTTTATTTTTTCATCTTTCATTCTGTTTTTTCATCATTTAAATGAGTATTATTTTCACCCACCTGCTTCTACATTAAGCCTAATAGATTAGACGGCAAAAGGAATATATGTATGATTTTAATGTTATTGCTTGTTTTATCCACTTTGAAATGAACATTAGACACATATATGATCCATCCTTCCCATTTGCATAGAACCCAACACATTATCGGTTCGTTTCGCTGTCTTGGAAACGCCAGCCACAGAGATGATCGGCTTCATCTGTGGGTTCGGACGCATTTTTTTGGAGGTCCCTAGTATTCTCTCCTCATTGACATGTTGAATTATATTGGACGTGGCTTTTTATGGAATCCGATATACCGTTGTCATATCTCACTCTAATCTCCACCAAAATTAGTATTCGGTCGAGTAGACTCTACTCGACTTCTTAAACTGCAGCCTTTGCTACGATTGGTCAACCGAGCGATCATAGACATTGAAATAGGTTCGGAAAGAAAATGAGATTTGCAAAATAAGAAATTAGTAGACTGAGGATAGGGATTTGTAGACTTAAATTTATCTAAGTACACTGAGGCTGCAAAGTCACCGAGATGACTGAGGGTAGGAGTTGGTAGACTGAGATTTATCTATGCAGACATCGCTGTAGTAGCACTAGTTTTAGAGGCTAGGGAGCTCAAGGCTTCCGAGCTGTTGCAATTTCTTCCGATCTACTCATGTTTGCATTAGAAAAGACAGCATTGCTTTAGAATTCGCCACCAGTTTTTCAGATTTTGCAAAAACTTTGCAACAAGTCGGATGAAATTCTTTAAACCTTAACTGCTTTGATAAGTTAAAAGCAAAATATTTTCAAGAAGTTAATCATTCGATGTGCTCTTGTCGGTTCTACTACTAACTTCTGCTAAGTTACCGCTACCGGGTTCTGACTACAACGGCTATCTAGGCAGACGTCGCAATGACCCTGATGGTCATAAAGACGATGGCGATGTTCTCACTGTTAACTACGTTGTAAATCATCGAGGGCGGCTCCAAATTAGAGGGCTGCTAGATGACGTGAGCTCGTGCCATGTATTGGATCTCATCTCGACCGCAATCATTATCATCGCCTTCGGCATCGGGGAGTCTCGTGGCAGGGAGATAAGATAAATAAGACGATTCATTCACCGAGCACTATCGCTGTCGAGTCGTCCAATGAACGGCATTCAGGTGAGCGCAATTACAACTGAAAGTGCTACAATGAGTTTATCATTGAAACAAGACAACTGAAAGTCGTTTTTAAAAGTACTTGCTGCCATGACATAAGTCACTTAGCAAGGTTGTTACGATAGCTAGCTTTGTGAGCAAACTCCTGTTGTTTTTCCCACTCGCAACATTACGGCTCCGAGGAAGACGAAATCGCCGAAGCATCAGCCATCGACTAACAACAACAGCAACAATAACGACAACTTATACCAACCTTGCAATAGCTCAAAAAAATCAATACATAGGCACATATAAATAAATATATCTTGTTGTTTTATCAATGATAGAAGGCACACTGATCACTCACACCGTGGTTGAATAGAAGTCGGTCTACAATGGTGTCACGATAATTCAGACTAGAGGTTTTCAGTGAAGATGACATTTTTCGTCCCTCCCAAGTCGAAACTTATTATCGTAAACGGTGAAAGCAATGTATTTTTAACTGTTTAACAATGGATTTCTACCGCTGAAAAAGCGCAGCTGTAGAGCTGCTGACCAGTAGCGACTTGTTCCGTGCGATCAGCACTGAACGCGTGCGAACATCCTCATACTCTTGCACACGTCGATCGAGTATCGGAAGCCTTGAGAATCTACAGCATCGCTCTCATCGATTATCCTTTATTTACTGATTTTCTCCCTATTTTTACTTCGCGCGAAAATCTGAGCCTTGTCACAACTTTCCTTCGATATCTATCCGACCTACACAGAAGGAAACATCGAAATTTCTGCCACGACCGACTTTCTATTAACCTCGGCATTGATCAAGTGATTTTGTTCGTATTTTTTTTTTTGTGAACTGTGTGAAGAACGTATGAAGTACGTCACATTCGAACTTACAGATTAGAATGGAACGAACAGGGTGAACGCCTGTTGTCTGAGCATATCATGACCACCGAGACCATTAATACCAACTAGCAATTTCAGAAGCCCCACTTTCAACGTTGGACGTG